TTTCTATTAATCTATGTTCTGCCACATGGCTCTTTACATCTCTTCCATTCTGTATCAACTCCATCTGTGTCTTGCTGGCAAAATCCACGCACCTAGATTCATCCCTCTGAGTTCCTCTCTGTTTGGAAGTCCTACTTCTCTTCTTCTTGCCTAGCTATTGTCCATTCGGCTTTTTATTAAACCAACTAGGCACGTTAGTCAGGGGAGGTAAAACATAGACACATTTTTCACACAGTGTAATCAAATCTCCCGCAACAGCCACGTATTATAGTCTGATCAGTTTGTTGGATCCACAGAGATTCTTCCAGGTTCTCTAAGTGAAGAAGAGCTATTTCAATTGTTTGCTTAAATTTAAGATGCCAGCTTTTGCTTTGGTTCTGCCCATGCATGACGTGTGCAAATAAAATTAAACATACAAAACAAAACAAAACAAAAACAATAAGTCCTTTATTAGAACAGAACACTTATGTATGATTCCAGGCTAAAACTTTATGGCTGAATGGATAGAACTAGAAGAAACCGTCCTGAGTGAGGTAACCCATTCACAAAAAGACAAACATGGTATGTACTCACTCATATATGAATTTTAGACATAGAGCAAAGGATTACCAGCTTACAATCCTCATCACCAAAGGAACTAGGAAACAAGAAGGACTCTAAGAGAAGAATGCATAGACCCTGGAGAAGGCAAAGGGGCAGGATCTCCTGAGCTTTTTGGGAGCATGAGGGTAGGGAAGAGGGAGATGGGAGAATGAGAGGGGGAGAAGGGGAGGGGAGAAGAGGAAAGGGAAGAGCAGGAAGGTTGAGTCGGGGGAAGAATAGAGGAGAGCAGGATCAGAGATACCATAACAGAGGGAGCCATTATAGGTTTGAGGAGAGACCTGGCACTAGGGAGATTTCCAGAGATCTACAAGGATGACACCAACTGACAATCTAGGCAATGGTGGAGAGGCTACCCTAAATGTCCTTCCCCTATAATGAAACTGATGACTGCCTTATATGCCATCCTAGAGCCCTCATCCAGTAGCTGATGGAAGCAGAGGCTTCCACAGCTAAACACTTAACTGAACTGGAATCCGTTGCAGAGAGGGAGGAGTGAAGAGCATAGAGGTCAGGACCAGGCTGGTGAAACCCACAGAAACAGCTGACCTGAACAAGAGGGAGTGCATGGACCCCAGACTGATGGCTGGGAGGCCAGCACGGGACTGATCCAGACCCCTGATCATGGATGTCAACGAGGAGGCCCCAGCACTCTATAGGGCCTCTTCAGTATTTATTCCTGGCATAAGAAGGGACTTTGGGAGTCCATCCCACATGGTGGAATGCTCTCTCAGCCTGGACACATGGGAGAGAGCCTAGGCCCTGCCCAGGATGATATGACCAACTTTGGGGAACACCCATGGAGGGCCTTACCCTCCCTGGGGAGCAGAGACGGGATGAGATGAGGGAGCTGGTGGGGGATGGAGGGGAGGAGAGGGAGAGGTAGAAGGGTTTGCCATGTGAAGCAGTCTTGTTTCTAATTTGAACTAATAAAAAAATAATCTTTTGGGACAAAAACTTTATGGCTGACTTAAATGTAATGAAGCTAGAAACAGTGAAATGGGAGTATCTGGAGAATTACCAGTAACTATCCAAGTGAAGATATAATATAGTATAAGAAGTAGAAAAGGAAGCCTTTGAGTATACAAATGAAAAAGACCTCTCATAGAAGGACCACAGAGTTTGCCATTGTACTACACTGGTCCTTTGCCTTCAATAAATCTTACCTTACCGTCTAGACCCTCCCTCTTCCTTTCTCACCCATCTCCTCCTCTTTCTTACACAGTCTTCCTTCTCCTGTCTCACACTCCTAGACACATGCCTGGAGAAGGCACATAGGTACCTTAATATCAAGGATAAGAGAGTGCTTGGTTGATTTTGTGTAGATGGTACTTTAAATTTTGAATAATTTAAAATCTGTTACTGTACTTCTTAATTTACGGTGGTTTGTAACCTTGAATTCTGAATCTCTTAAAAAACAAAAAATATTTATAGATACTTCTGAGAAAGAGCTTTTAAAATACTCCATGTTTTTGAAAAAATCTTTGGAAATGAATTATAATTCACTTTATAATTCCATAACCAATCTACTGCCAGGTATGTATTTACAATAGGGGTTGGAATACAAATGTCTGTGGGGATCATATGAAAAACACAAGAAAAGCAGAAAAGACACAAGGCAACAGAATAGGGACTAAAACAGTATTAGGGACTGTGGTGACCTTGTTAGCTCAAGTTCTTTGCAAAGGCAGCTTATGCCACCTCTATCCACCTTTAGCAGGCAGGCTCAGTATATTGCCAGAGTGATGCCTACAGGAAGACAAGAATCTTAATTTTATTACACTTCCTGATTGTTTCCCAGATAATGCAAGCAAACAATGTACTACTATCACTCTATTTCATTTTTCATTTTTCAAACACACACACACACACACACACACACACACACACACACACACGAGAGAGAGAGAGAGAGAGAGAGAGAGAGAGAGAGAGAATCTATCCTTACCACCTGTATTTTTTAAAGAAACATTTCACTGAATTTGCTTCATTACAGATGTGCACTCTATCCATTCCTCTGCCCATACATCAATCCCTCTTTATATTTCATACACAGTTCAACCTAGGTACAGACATCAGAATACTTCTGAAATGCTTTATGTTATTAAGTTGGGTTCTCTATTTTGACATCTTATTTGTGTGTTTTGTGCATGCCCACACACTCACACATATTATAGTACAGATTGTTTCATGTATGCACATGTATGTATGTGAGTGTGTGTCTATTTGTACAGAGACCAAAGGAGAAGTTTGGGTACCTTATTTTATCACCCTCCCCCATTTTCCTTTGAAATACTCTCTTTCAGAGAACCTGTAGCCAGCCTAGCTGCCAGCAAGGCCCACAATACTCCTACCTTTGCCCCTTACAGCATTAAGCTTACATGTGTACACAAAGCCATGCTCATTTGGTTTTTGGTTGGTTCGTTGGTTGGTTGGCTGGGTTTGCATGGATCATGGGAATTTGAACTTGAGTCCTTGTGTTTGCAGAAACTGCTCTTAGCTTTTTCCCAGCCCTATCTTAAGTAAAGCTTCAATATACAAATTTACACATTATTAAACAGAAATGCCACTCACTCTAATGCTAGAATGGTATTTATGCTTGATGATGGAAGGTAAAATTGTTATAGGATGAAAATGACAAGGATAAGGATGGAAATGGTGAGAGTTTGGAGTCTATCCCAAGCAGTTATTCTTTATAAAGTTTTACAGTTAAAATATGTATCCCTTACATGAACACAAATGTTAAATGGAAGGAACACTGTGTGGAAGACTTCAGCAGCCATGACTAGAGAACAGTGCAAACAGATGAAGGAGACACAGAAGCATAAGAATGAGATGAATGATTCACAGAGAGACAAACTTTTACTAAGTGACGATTTTTTCTGATTGACTTGGAGGGAAGCAAGTCTTCATTAAGAGGTTAAAAAATATACACACAAGGAAAATATGTCTACCCATATAGTGATGCTGATGCTATTTCCATGAATTGGGCCACACAGAAAGTTAAGAACTTTCCCACATTATAATTATTAATTTAGAAAGAAAATTCAAATTATAATGTAGGCATAGATGAGGAAATTGAAGTTTTTAAAAGACTGGATCTCAGAAGTCATACTGCTACTAAAACTAGAACTATGACATGAAATCTTACCTTTTCATTTCAAGCACTTTCTTCTCACCACACATTATACTATTAATCACCTAAATTTTCAATTTGGAAACAATAATTTTAATAAAAGGATGTGACTAGGACCTACTACAAAGTGTGTGGAGTCCTGTGTAAAGTGAGGTCCAACGATCAGAAATAATTTAGAATTTCAAAATATGAAAAGAATGTACTGACCAAAATATGGTATCCTTCTGTACTTGGGTCCTTTATGACTGAACAGGACAGATGTCCACAGAAACCGTATTTGGGTATGCTGCTGCCATGTGACATTGAAGCCCACAGAGTATCGGACAAAAGAAGAGAATTCTAGGGTAGACCCCAAAACAGGGTAGTCCCACCTAATCATCAGAATCGGTTTACAGTTGGAACTGTAAACTTACACAGGATGAACACTTGATTTACTGTGTGCCAAACTGATTATATAGATAAAAAAAAGCATGAGGCTTAGTGGTTGATAGCCAGCGTTCAGTCTTTCTGAACTTGCTGGATCATACAGTTCTCCAGCTAACCATCACCTCAGTACTGGTGCAGCAGATTCTGGACTGGGTCCCTTCTGACCATCACTGTCAAGAGTCTCATGCCCATACAGGTGAAATTTGGTAATGCTCTCTTTTCCTCATCTACAACTCAGTCCTCTCAACAGATGTGACTTCTGTGAGCCTGCCTATATGATTTTATTCCCAGAAGAAACCAGAAGAAACTGATCATCTATAACGTATGTGTAAACTGTTGCATCATGCACACACCCTCAGTTACACACCTGGTTTCAGATATCTAAATCTGCTCTGCAGAATGGACCCCAGGGTAGGCAGGAAGCTGAGCTCTCCTCGAGTAGGCTGGTGAAGCTGTCAAGTTTGGATCCCATCTGCTTCTCTCTACTTCCCCATATTGTCATGGGTTCCTACTTTTTGTTGGCACAAGCTGCAGCCCCATCATGCCTTACTTCCTTCATATTAGCCTGTTTCTATCAAGCCCAGACCTGGCTATATTTTTTTTTCAAATTTCAAACACTCTTAGATTTTTCTCTTTCACTGAGTTCTGTCCCTGTGTAAATGGCCAGAAGAAAATTAATCTTATGTGTCAAATAGAAGTAAGGATAGCACCTAACACTAATCTGACTGGTTGTTTCATATGTAAATGCCCTTTTGGAGGAATAAATAGGAAATGAACATTATGTAGACTGAACCTCTTGGTGAGGCTTTCAACAGAGTTACTCTTCCAGCTACTTTAGTTCACATGTCAATCATATTGTTTATTGTTTAGTAAGGGGGAAGTACCTTCTGTGAGGTGACCAGAAAAATGAAAGGGCAATGATATTTATTCCTAGCTGTGTCAAATTTTAAGTGATATTTTTGCTTATTAAATGTTAATATAGCAAACAATTACGAAAGCAGGTAGGTGTGAAATGAAACTGACACTTGTATCATGCAAACGTGTTAATTGCTGAAAGCTTTCCTGAGGAAAACTAGAGTTTGATGGTGATGGTTATGAGCATATATCTACATGTACTTACATGTGCATCCATCTATGTGCAGCACACACACACATATACATAAACACGGGTGTCTGAAGGACTTCTATGAAAGTTAACAGTGTCCTGTGTAGTCTGATCCCGCCACCTCTCCAGTCCAATGTGCACCACCTCCTTTGTGCTCTGTGAAGCTATTCACATTGGCTTTTCTCAGTTCTTCAATATGGTTCAGCTTTTCTCCTGAACCTCACAAAGCCAAGGGGCTTTGTGCATGCTATTCTTTATGCCTGGCTGGTTCTCCATCCCTCTTTTGACTGATCCGGTCCTCAGATCTCAATTTAAGGGTCACCCCTGTCCTCTGGAAGCCTTCCTTGGACACTGCTCCTTCCATTTCCACCTGCTGAGTCTGGCCAGACTCTCTTCTATTCTGCTTTAAGAGAAAACATTTTCTTCTCTCTGGTACTCAGCCTAGAAAGTGGTAACCTTCCTTTTGGTGTGATCATTCACCTCTGTTTCCTCTTGGGCAGTTCAAGTTCAAAGACAGCTGGTTAGTGACCTTCCCATCACCATGGGAAAACAGCCTGATATTTAAAAGTGACTCAAGGAATGCTTGCTGATTCAATGCTGGGGTTGTCATACATTTTTATCTGTTTCTTGTTTGTTTCAGACTACAACATCTGTGTGGTAGTATCATGATAAAAAGGGATTTTAAAATATCCTTCCTTCTGGTTGGAGGCTGCAGCTGTCCTCTGCAGAGCCTGCTGCTGCTCTGGGTTCTGACTCCTCTGACTGTGACAGCTCTGGGCTCATTTACACCATGGAGCATTATTAGGCTGCATTGTCTGTGGCACTGCCCCAGTCTCTTTGGAAGGTATTTTCTACTTCCCATCATCTTTGAGTTGTTCACCACAAAGCAGGTTCTTTGGAGGCATGCTGTTTTCTTTCCTGCCCTCAGGGGTGCAGCCTTGTAGGGTTTGTGACTGACTGACTCTGACAAAGCAACCTGCCAGGCCACTCTTGGCAGCTAATGACAAGCCGGTAGGATTTTACTGAACAGAAATCCTGCTGTCATTGCTTAGGGTATGTCTCTTGGCATGACTCCCTCACAATTCTGTCCATTCTTCTCACCTACATTCAAGGGAACTATAATCACTATGATGTGTCCAGTGAAGTCAAAGCTAAGTTCTTTTAGGGATTTACTGGATGACTACATATTTTTAGCCTGAGATGCAGGTTTTTGTTCCTTTGGACAAAACGATAGCATATATGCAGTAGCTTTGGAGCTCCGACAGAGTAATTTCTCCATATGGTACCTCTGGTAACACTGAAGATATTTTTTAAGACTTCCGTGGGTTAGTTTAAAAAAATCTTGTCAGTCTGCAAACATTTTACTGGCCTCCACAATATTCACCTACACATAGTAATGTTACAAGGGTAATTTGTCATTTAAATCCTCTTCAGAATGTGTGGGGAATAAATAAACCTGGATGATACATCAGAAGAAGAGCCTCTCCAAGGCAATGAGCTACCCAGCCATCCAAGTAATACTGAGACTCGCTATTTGGATTCTGACTTCCGCAGCCCAGTTAATCTTTTCCACAACTATGAACCCACATGAGGCAACAGTGGTGTAGCACAAAGCCTTGATTTTGTGTGTCTGGAATCCTTAGACACATTGACAAGGTTGTCATTTTGATGCATGTTCAGGGAATTTGAAGATGATGAGAGCTATTGGTTCATAGGACAGCATCTATACTGTGGTGAACCCACAGCAGGTGAGTGGAATTTATCTGGTGTTGAGATGAAAAGATGATTATCCAGCCAAGGGCAAATGAGGAGGAAGCTTCTTGGAGATTAGCTGTTCCATCAGTGTCCTACATTTCAGAGGGATGTGATCATTGGTTTCATGATTAATAATCCTTGTGGATGGCATTCTCTACCATTCAGAGTTTATCTGGGGATTGAAATACATGCAAAATCAGTCTTGCAGAATGTTGCATATCTTTGCCATTCCTAGTCAGTGATAGATACAGAAACAGGTTGAGATTGGCTGAGTAATTTGAGCTGGACCACATTACTAATCAGTGGGATAAAATATTGAATTCTTTCTAGAATGTTTTACTGTGGTATTATCCCCGACAAAGGAAATGAACAAATCTATTTTTTCCAGAAGAGCTCTTTGGTGCCATTCCTATTTCTCTACATACCTCTCAGTAGTCTCTGCCAGACCCTCTACTGATCCCTTACATCCAGACACCAATTCTACAGACTCACGTCCCCAATAATCCTTGTTTCTGATTGGTCACAGCTACAAAGGTGGCAACCACAGAGGATGTTACCAGCTGCTTCCCATCTATGTGCCTCCCTGCTGGGTTTAGAGTCCTTTCAGATAAGAGCACCGATGTTCCTCTTCTTCTCTATTTATCTTATTTCTCTGCTTCTTTTAATTAATCAGCCCTTCTAAGTTACATTTTCAAGTCACCCACCCACCTCAGGGGAAAAAATGATTCATCTGTGTATAACACTCTCTCTCTCTCTCTCTCTCTCTCTCTCTCTCTCTCTCTCTCTCTCTCTATATACAAGGACTTGTGAGGGATACAATGACAAAATGTAGACAATGAATTCCTGTAGGAAAAATTGGTTTGTTCTATTAAGAGTATTTAATGCAGTGTGACCTGTGGGCTCAGATGGGTACATCTGAGTATAAAACCTGACTTAAGCTTCTCCTTCTTTCTTTCTGGAAAAGGATGATTTTTCCCCCAAGTGGAATTAACCCATTGTGACTTATGAATTGCAGTTTTGCTTGCTGTTGGTGGCAATAAAAGGATCACAGGAGAATTTGTGCATTGCAGACTTTCCTCTTCCTTTGCTCTGATATTTAAAAAAAAAAAAATCATGTGTGAGAGTGTTTTGCCTGCATCTATGTATGTGCGCCATGTGCTAGAACCCCAGGAATTGGATTTGTGCATAGACTGTGCTGGGAACTGAATTCTGGTCCTCTGCAAGAGAATTTAGTGCTCCTAATGTTGAGTCATCTCCCTAGACCTGTCTCCTCTAGATTTTTACCTTTGATATTTTGTCATAGTAACAGACAGCTAATAAGCCACCTCCTCCCTCCTCCAGACTTCCTTGGGTAAGGACAACATCTGTGGGTTTGATTAAAGGTCAGAATAGGGTTTAGGAATTTCTTTAGAAATTTGTTGAAACAAAACTGAGTGAAGACTTTGAGTTTTTAGAACCCTTTTATATGTACTCATTAGGACTAAATTCTCATAGCCAAGAAACTATTTTGTTAGGGTACTTTAAAGAATTCTTTAAAGAATTCCTACATCAATTAGCAACTAGCTGAGGCCAAGCCTTGAAAAAATGTACTTACTTCCTATTAATAGCAAATCGCATCTCCTCCTATGAGCAAAGCTGGATTTCAAATGCTCCTAACACATTCTAAGGTGATGCTTGGGCATTGGAAGTGCTTTGAAGATTGCAATTTGAAGGAGCTGGTCATAGAGGAACTAGATCCCTCTAGGATACTTTTCAGTGAAAAAGAAAATATTCCCAAGAAAAAAAGTGTTAATGTATTTTATTCTTCTAACTGGTGATAATTACTAAGAAGTGTTGATTAAATATGAACTCTAGTTAGAGAATTTCTAAACCTCTAGAAGCCTAAATTTTCATATCTGCCCATGGAATTCACTTCAGATAGATAAGAGGACTGAAGAAGAATATTAATATCTCATCTATCTATCTATCATGGCATCTATTGGCATTCAGCTAATATTTTAATAATACCTCAGCGTTCTCACAAATTATTTATAGGAAAATGTTCGAAGGAAAAATCACTTTATACCTTCTCAAATATTTTCATACTTATCATTTTATATTACTCCAGATAGCGTTCTGCTTTTAGGTACCAGATGGTGGATTTTGAATTTATATGGAGCGGATTAAAGCCAATGCCCTTTCCTGCCTACCTACTTGGAAAAGATCCCCAAATCACAATGTCATTAAGACCTCTAATCCTCTTATGAAAGGTTTCCTGGTTAGACCTTTATTTGGAATAAAACTGTCTCTGGCTATCAAGGTCTGTACTGAGTTACAACACTGCAACAATGCTGCACAGAGCTTCAACTATGCAGGATTCACACAAGAAGGCTTTGCAAGACCCAGGCTCCTTGACACCCCGACTCAGTCCCCCTTTTCTGCATCACGGAAGTCGGAATATTGGTTTAGCTTTTGGGTCGAGCAGTTTGGAGGGGGCGGGAATGTTGGGCAGAGACCCGCTAGGGAGCTAACATAAAGATTTGGTTTATTGAGTTTCCTATATCATTTTGGGGTGGCCAATTTTATATTGCAATAGAGAACGCAGTAAGGGGAGCTGGGCGGACCATGTCTCTAAAGGTAGGGAACCTTGGAAAAGCTGAGGCCATCAGCTCCCCTCCCCCATCACTTTCCCCAGTCCCGAGCGTGCGCCCTGGAAGGCAGCAAGCAAGGGGGGGCTGGTCTCCGTAGTTCACTTAGATCTAGCTTAAAACCTACCACGTTTCACCAGCAGCCAGGTACCAGGCCATGCCATGTGAGTTCAGCAATCAGGCCGGGACTAGTTCTTGGTCAGTTAATTTGGCGCTGAGGTTTTCTGCCCGCCTTCCCATCCTCCAGCTCAGCAGCCGCTACACATTTCCATTGGTCATAATGGCTGTCTATCAGTCCATTGCACACCTCCCCCAAACAGCCTGTCGGGCGGGCGCGTGCTAGCAAGGCGGAGCTTGCGGCTGGGGGCGGGGCCTCGGCCGTGGAAGGCGCAGCGGCCGCTTCACGGCTCCGGCTCTGGACTGGAGCACGGAGGCATCCTCGCAGCCGCTGCTACCGCTGCTGTACCTGGTCAGGTAAAAGAGTCTTCCTCCTGGCCGTCTGCCCCACCTTTTCTTCCCAGCCAAAGGCTGCCTACGTAGCCTCTCCGGCTCTAAGGTTCTGGCCGGAGCTATTAAGCTCTTACCTCAGCGTCCTCTCTCTTGAGTTGGTTCCTCCAGCTCCACAGCCAGGCTGCTGGGTTCTGGGAAGTGCGTTGGTGGCCCCTAGAATCACCCCAATATCCCTCTCTACAAAACTCACATCGTCGTTAACTCTCAGGCCCTAGCCTTCTTGACCCATCAGTGCAGCCTCATTCCAGCTTGGCTCAGAAAAGCTGGGAGGGTGTTGGAGGGCCAAAGAGGGAAGGAAGGGTGCAGGCTTTTTTTTTTTTTTTTCTTTTTTTCTTTTTTTCGATGCAATTATACTGCAGTGAAGTTGGATTGAGAATAGAAGCTGCTTCGTGTTTATCTTGGCAATTACGTGGGTATCTGTTGCTGCACTGTGCTTGTATTTATAGGTGGCATTCACCATCACCGTTTTCTTCTGTCATGATTTTGTCATCATCCCAACCATCACCAACAACGTCATCTTCTCCTCCATCAGAACTCTATAGTTCTCCAAAGGCATCTTCTGTTCCTCTATGTAAGTGCTGGATACTCTTCCTTCCAATACCAGGCAATGTCCTTGTCTCCAGAGGCCACAACCAAACCTTCTTTTAACTCAAGGACAACTAGCTGAGAGCAGTGTGTGTGTGTGTGTGTGTGTGTGTGTGTGTGTGTGTGTGGGGGATAGGGCAAAATTACCACTTGCAACTAAGATTTCCATAGGAACCTTTCTGTTTTAATCATCAGCATTTCTGCTTACTAACTCCAAGAGACTTTGATGTTGGCACTGATACAGTCCTGATGGGCTGAATGCAGGGCCTGGGATCTTGTAGTATAGAGCTATGTAAGGCAAATTATACCATAATGAGGTGAGCAATTGAAAGGGCCAGGTCAAGCAGCAAAGCATCTTCTCCCACAGTGGCTCCAGTTGTACCAAAGCTGTTTAGTATTCATGTTTGCAGGTGGAGTATGTGTCACTGTTTCACCATAAGGTGATCTAAGTTCCAGAGAGAGAGAGAGAGAGAGAGAGAGAGAGAGAGAGAGAGAGAGAGAGAGAGAGAGAGAGAGAGAGAGAGAGAGAATATTAAATTCTTTTGTCTACGGCAGAAGGCATTTTCTAGATATGCCTCTGAGACTAGATAACCATTGCTTAGCTCTTTCCAGGACTTGCTGCAGGTCTATTAGATGTCTGATTTATTAGCCCTCTTTTAAGAGGAAAGCATTACAGCCTAGAATCGAATATCAGATTACCCCTCATCATAGAACCATTGCTTTAGAGTACTCCAAAGCTCCCAATTCTCCTCCTATTTAGCCAGAAACACCTAAATAATCTTCCTTTCTCTCAAGGGTGTGCAATCTAGTGTCAGCATCAACAAATGATAGGTTTCTAGGCATACTACAGGAATTAGGAGGTAGTAGCCTCGTTGGAGGGAAACAATGGTTAATTCCTGATAGTGGATCATAGTTAAACTCATAAGCTCATTAGGCATAGTTTTGAGTCCAGGGCCAGCCTTACTTGAATGATTTTGGTAAATCATCTTCTTGAACTTAATTTCTCATCTGAAAAATACAGGTAATCTTACCTCTCCTTTCACAGGGAAATTGTAGAAGTAAATGAAATAATGTAAATAAAATGTTTAGTAGTTTCCTGACAGATAGTGAGTAGTGGAATTAGTGATCAGTGATGTTAATACTAGCCAACAAGAATAAGAAAGGCCCAAAAAGTGTGTCTTCTTTCTTTCTGTTTTAGATATCAGTACTTATGTTCAAAGGGAATGGTCATCATTGGATTCCCAATAGGATTGCCTCTCAAGGGTCCCACTGATTGAAGCCCTCTGTGTTTAAGCAGCCATGCTGACTCCAGCCTGTACAAATGCTTAGCCAGCTTTCAGTTATGATGCATTAAAGCTGAAGCTTTAGAGGGAACTTCTATCTGGTCTAGGGGTCTGTCCTGGGCTGTTCTTTCTCCCTGGCTCTTGACCACACTGACTTGATAAATTGTGCTTTCTGCAGAATCATTAGTGAGTGCATTGGCTTCTGCCCAGGGGAAGTCAAACAGCTTTGCTTCAAATGCCTGTGGGAATTGAAGCAACTCTAAATCACCACCCTGAAGTAACTTATTGTGTAACAGGATTATTCTTTTCTAAGACTACAAGCTAGACAGAATCACTATGTAGTTCCTGTCTCTTGTTTGGAGAAGTTAACATCATTCCATCTGCTTTGGGGAGAGGGATACTTTGAAATTTGGACTTTATTGTTCTTTATATTAGTAGGATATTTTCTATTGTATGGGATAGAAGTTCAACAGAAAGGGTCTTAAGCAGAATGAGCAATTGGGTCTCGAGTAACTGAACCCAACATGTCCTAATGTCCTGGTGAGGAAGCTGGTCTGCCTCCAGGTAGTTTCTGTCTTTCAGGGGCTTCTGAAGTTGTCATCCTGTTTTCTAACTCTTCATCTTTGGCTATTTTTGCCCATTCTCTTTTAGCACTGCTTTTCTCTCCCCTTATTGAGCTTACTCTGTTCTGTTACAGATTCTCCCCTCCCAGTGCCTTTGTAGTGAAACTCTAGATTCACACCCTTCTAGTTCCATAACCCAAAGCCGTGCCCTTAGTCAAGCCTTAAGAGTCCCAGGAAAGAATTGCATTTGATAAGCCCTTTATTCATAGGCCCTTTATTCCTTTATTCTGGATTAATGCTTTGGGCAAGGGAAGACAGCATTATAGATCTTATGACTGTCTAAGGGTTGATTTTCATATCCTAGTCTTCTGCCCTATCCAGATTAAAATTGGTGGAACGAAGGAAGACAAATAGGAACTAGGAATAATGTGGGACATGGCACGTTGATGGTTAACATCCTTGATAGAAATCTGAGGAACATCTTTCTCTGATTGGTGTGCAGTGCTCCAAAATCTAGTCATGTTGAAGTTCTTGGTTCATGCATATCAAGGCAGACAGAATTGTGTTTCAGATAACCTTGCTTTTAATATTCTAAATTGAAACTTTATTTGTGTAAGCAAAAAAAATCATCAGGGATGTTGAAGAACCTGCAGTGATTCCATGATTGGCAGCTTGATCATGTTTGGAGTTACCTGTAATCTCCTCTGAGCCAAATTTTTAACACCAGCTATATTTTTTTGGATGTACATAGTATTTGACTTTAAATCACCTTAATTTTAAGCGGGTCTCAGCCTGTGGGCTGACAGAAGTTACAGTCATTCATCTGATATGCTTGATCTTTGCAGAGATGCTAAACCACAAGAAGCAAACGTGAGCCTGCACCAACAGACTGGAAGGAAATGAAACATCCCTATGTTTAGGGTCTGTGCTGAACTGCTGACAAAGCAGTAATCTGTGTGCCCTATAAAACAAAAATTACTGGAGTAGGAGAATGGGTATAGCCTCCTGACCTCATCGACATAAAAGGCTGAAAACTCAGGAATGGGATGTGTCTTCCTTGGAATTTCCAGGTCCTTTGATGAAGAGTAAAAACAATCTCAAGAAAAGGGAATAATCTAGTGATTTTATGTGCTCACTCAGCCCTTGAACATGTACTACCCCAGTGTCTCTGTGGTTATGGGAAAAATTGTTCCTTCATTGGGCCTCCCTACCTATACTTTTCTAAGCTGAACAAACCTCTGAAATTCTCTGCAGGAAGTCACTTCTGGCCGAGTTCTTTCGTTTTTCCCTTCTCCAAACCAGCACATCTATTACTTTCCTGCCTTAATCAAAACTGACTTGCTTTGTGTCCTATTTCATTAGATTCATTCCTGTTCTCCTATCTAAGGTGTCGAACATCATTGTTAAATACTGATATACTTCAAATTAAACACATTTTAAGTTGGTCTTAAGCTATTGAGAGTAGTATTTTGGAGGCGGCAGGACTTTTTAGCATTCATGTTACCCACCAGAGTTGGGACATTAATTGAGAAGCAGCAGACTGGGGAGGAGAGATAAAAAGCAACACAGGAAATAGCATTATGTTGCAGCTGACAGGTCCAATTCTCATATCCCTGCCCTGAACTTTCCCTTCTCAATGAGAGTGCTCCAGGGCATGTTTTAGGGGAAAGAAGCACAGTGGAAATGAGTGACCTGGACATTGGTACATTAAAAAAAAATCCATAAAATAGTGCAGTGCACTTAAACAAGCCTTCAGCCATAGTTGTTTTGCTTTGAACCCATGTGGGCATCCACTCACACTCATCCAGGCCAGATGCTTTTTCCTGTGATCCTTGCTATGAAACATGGGAGGAAAGATTACAGATGGTTTAAAGAGAACAAGAACCTTCCTTGTTAGTAGGAAAAGCCTTCCCCAGGAAACCATTTGTTGTAGTAATTCTGACTTCTTAAACCTGACACTCATGCGAATGAAATCCCAATGAAATTGAATGAATGATGTCACCTATGAGAGAGAAGGCCCCGTTCTAGGTATGTATGGGTGACCATGGTGCTGTTCTTGCTCTCTGAGAGCTCTCCACAAGTGCTAAATCTCTGTTCAGATTCTCATTTTTTTTGGTTGTTTGTGGGTTTTTGTTTGTTTGTTTTTGAGATAGGGTTTTTCTGTGTAACAGCCTTGCCTGCCCTGGATCAGTTTTTTTTTAAATATGAAAAAGCAAGGCTTTTGCACTTTGATGGTATAAAATTGCCTAACTAGAAGGTAGAAATTATTTCAGAATAACTGTTAGGGAAATAGTTAATGATCTTTCTCCTCCGAGAGAAATAAACATTGACACAATTGTGTTTAAATGTGTTCAGGCCTCAAGAGGTGCTAAGTAAAATTTCCCCATCCATTGAGAATACAGTATCTTTTCTCTGACCTAGAGAATACTTGTGTGTAAGCATTGTAGCAGTGGTTCTCAACCTTCCCAATGCTGTAGTGAACCCCCAACAATATAATTACTTAGTTGCTACTTCATAACTGTAATTTTGCTACTGTTATGAACCATAATGTAAATATCTGATATGCAGGCTATCTGATAAGCAACCCCCAATTGGGTCACAACCTACAGATTGAGAACTACTGTTACATTAGAAGTAATGTGTAAGACTGTACACTTCCACTTCGATGTGTTCACTGACTAGAAGCACACCTTGGTGCTCTTAGCCCTGAAATACTAACAGAGCTAGGTTAGTATTCAAACACATAGTCCATGCAACCGAATGTTCTAGCAAAGAAAAAAATCCTTATAGTCTAAGGACAGGCAGTGAGAAGTGACTATTGCCTCCCCCTGTGCTCATCCTGGGCCTAATACAGAGGATTTAGAAACCTTGCCTCAGTTACTAGCTCTGCTAGCCCCTTGTGTGCACAAAGTAAATGGTGCTGAACCTCTTGTATGGAAAGAACCAGGACTCAGAGAGGCTAGTGTGTTTGCTCAAGGGCATAGTTTTAAGTATGGTTAGTATTTTGCCCACTTGCAAGACTTGCATTCTACTTTCTATGCCCTACTAGGCCAGTGAGAATATTCCAGGTTTTAATTTATTTTACATTAAATCGGGATAAGCCATAAATAGAGCACAGTGTTTTGAGTACAGATCTAGTGAAAAGCAAGAGCTGCTTTTTATACTCATTAAAATGGTCATTCGTTCTCTTTTTAGATGTCACTTTGGACAAATTTCTAAGCCTAACATGTATTTGGAAAGCTTTGTGGGGGAAAAAATAAGCTAACAGATCTGCAGAAAGTGAAATTCATTTATAGAATTGGCACCAGTCCTGGCCTTGTTTGACAGTGTCCTCATCTCCATGTATCTATTTCTTCTGTAGCATCCTCTACTGTTTAATAAGAGAGTGGCAGGGCTTTTTGGATTCTGGTTTTGCTACCCATTGAAGTCCCAGGTAAATAAGGTTAGAACATTCATGTGTAGTAGAGGGTACTGTCTTTTTATTAAGTCCACTTTCTGATTTGGCTTAAGCTCTGCAAACATCATGTAATTCTAATTCTTTGGAATATTTGAAGAATTTTAACTCCTCAAAAATCACAGTATCTTAAGAAAAACTATGACATATTACTAAAGAAAACATGTTTTCTTAATCACCATCACATGCATAATCCTTACACAGACATTATTCTGTTAGTAGGTAACAAGGTGTTTTTCCTGTTGTACAGTAGAAAAAAATGAGATTAGGATATGACAAATGACTTGCCCAAGGTCACTCCTGTTCAGTAGCACAGCTAAGAATAGATCCAAGAAACCTGACACCCTGGCTTTATTCATTACATCATTGAGCTCCTTTCCAGAAGTAATTGATCTTCTAATTCCAAAAGTGAAGAGGGCAAAGGGTAGTGAAATCCTAGACTCAGTTTGGGTGACTTGGCTGCTTAGGAAACCCCCCCCCTTATTTTTACTTTAGGAGGAAACACACCCATAGCTTCTGATTTATCACTGTTTACTAAATTCAAGAGCTCAGCTAAGTCAGAATTTTTTATGAAATGTAAGTCCCAAGATGGACAAATGACAAAGAAAGGTGGAGCTTCTGCCTGAAGGACATCTATAAGAGAGGGGACAAGAGGAAGGTTCTAGCCTAAGAGTACACACAGAGGGCTGTGTCCTGGGCCCTAGAAAATAGCATAAAAAATGAATGTCATGAACTAGAAGAGGATTTGAAAAAACTGTTCTGCAAATTTTTTCAAGGAGTGGGCTGAGGTTTCACTGTTACAATTTCTCTTGCTTGATAAATCCAGAGTGGGGGGCAGAACTACTAAAGTCTCTTCTTGCTCCTGCCGTTTTCATTCAAGCCATGAAGATGAATATCCACATAAGTGAGAACATTCACTAACAAGAATCTTATCTCTTCATTTATTACAAACAACTTTAATTTCTGTTTTAGTCATGTTATTTCTTGTGAAGGTTAAACAGTTGACTTCCACCATTCTTAGAGCTAGACCACTCCCCAGAACTGTGGTCTGGGATAATGATGACTTGCCACAGCATTGGCAGAGGGAGCCTTCTTGTCATGGAGGTAGTAGGCCACATAAGTGGCACTGTAGCATTTTGCCATCACAACTGTCTTATCTGTAGTGTTCAGGTCATACTTGGTCCTGAGGAATCTTTGAATCTTTGTGACATCTCTGATTTGCCCATCTACCTACATGTACTATGCACACACACACACACACACACACACACACACACACACACACACACCCTGCTAGGATTTTTATTGGAGTTTTGTTAATTATAAAGGGTGGAATGGCTTCCTTGGTGACTGCTAGGAAGCAAGGCATGGGTATCCTTCTTTCTGTGTCTTTGCTTCTCTCTCTCCCATTCTCCTAAGGACTCCGAGAGAATACTCCTTTTACATTTCTTCATATCTAAAATTCTCTCTCTCTCTCTCTTTTAATAGTCTCCAAGAAATTCCCTAAGAAGATTTTATCCTCCTGAGAAATTCTTCTAAGAGTTTAAGATTTGGGGAGATCTACAACTACTGACAAGCTATTTCTGTTTTTCTACTTACATCACTGGTCCTGATGCAATAACTTCTCATTTTGATGCCTATCAGGAGGAAATTCAGGAGATAAGATGAATATAGATTAATATCTCTGAATGACTGAGTGTTACTTTGGGATGTCTTGTAAATACCCACTTTCTTTCTTCTAAGGATGACCTATAAGCAAAGGGTCTGTATATTCACACCCCATCCTGGGCCACACCTAGTTAAATGAGCAATAGAGTTTGCACCAATGAGGGGACACATGAGTTATTTTCTCCAAACTAGTGTTTTGGATTGGAGGATGGCAATATGTAATAGTCACTTGAGTTAAGTTACAGAGAGATGCTATAGGGTCCAGCCTGAGAAACCTCCTTCTGGAATGCTCTGCTTCAGCTTCTTGCCATTGGCTCACTCTTCTCTTTATCTGATTTCATGAAATGGTCCATGAACAGCCACTTTCAGCCAAAAGTAATGTAAGAATGATCGCCAGTTTGCCAAGAAACAAAGCCAGGGTGAAGAGGAAACTGAAATCCAAGATAGGTGAAGCAATTGTAAGATAGAATCTAACCACTTAGGATGTGTTCATCGAATGATTTAAAGGGACAGCTGCATGAATTGCATTTTTGATTCCTGAACACACTTTGGCATGTTTTCAAAAGAACGTTTTTTAGCTCTAGGCACTGTCTTGACCACTAGAGTCGCATGATCATCAGGCTTTTCAAAGCTGGTAGCTCTTGCATTTAAGGGCTCTTTCAAGAGTTGGGGGTGGTAAAGCCAGGACAATATATCTCAGGAAACATAGGAAGCCTGCAGGAGTTTAAAGGGACTTGGACAAGAGAAGAACTAGATTACAGTACAGGTAGCAAGAACAAGAAGTTGATAAAAGTAGATTGGACTCAGAATAAGAGAAATATTTATTCATATTTAGAGCTACCTGGAATGCCATGAGGTTTCCTTTTGGGGTAGAGAAATTAGTTCAAGGCAAGGTGGTATAGGTATTCATAAAGGCTGCAATGAAGGAGAGAGGCAAGAGGATGGGGCACAGTGAATAACATCTAAGTTTTCTTTAAAGATTGCATCATTTCCCCTATGAATAACATTAACTCTTAGAAATGCCAGCCCATACTTTGACAGAATGCAGTAGGAGTTAAAGCACTTCACAGACATAGTTTTATAAAACCTTTCTTCTTTTGCTAAAACATATACAAAAGCTTCCGGGTTTGTGTGGCAGAAGGAATTTCCAAAGGTAAAGACAATAAGAATTTATTTATCCTTTATATTATAGTCAGTAGTGATTAAAATTGTTCACAGGCAATGAGTTGTTCACTGAAGTTGAAAGAAATGATTATTTCTTTATGATATGATAATGCTAAACATGGGGGAGAGTAGATTTTTACATAAAATGAGTAGATTCTTTGAATT